AGCTGTGGACCATCCCCCACCAGCGAATTCTCAACCCATCAGCTAATCTCAGCAAAATGCAATAGAAGTGTCAAAACCTCAGGGTGTGAAATCCCCAAACGTTCCTCACCACCTTCCAGGGACCGGGTGAAACATCCCCTGGCCACGATCCGACTCTGCCCGGCCTCACCTGCACCACACCCGCCCTGGAGCAGCTAGAGGCTGGGGGAGAGAACAGATTGGGAGTAAAACACATGGGGCTGGGGGAGATGGAGTGACCTTTCCAGCCAGGGTGCCTTGCTCAGCCGTGGGGAACATGCTCCCGTCCTCCCCCTCGCCACCATGTCGTCCCTGATCGCATCCCCTCAGCTGAACAGCTGAGCTACAGGTTTTCCTTAAATGTCACTGCTGAGGGGCTGTGGAAAACCCCACCCTGGTGAGGGGTGGAGGGTTTCTGTGGGTTTAGGTGCCGTTCAAGTGGGCGGCAGAGCGGGGAAGGGCCAGCCCAGTCCTGGGGCTGCGGTCACAGCTGGGGGATGCTGGTGCAGACCCGGAGCCAGCTGCTGCCTTCACCACCCCACCTGGGCTGTGGTCCCTGCTGGGCTTACCACCAACAGCGGTACAGGTGACCCAGCTCAGGGCTGAAGCACCTCTTGCCTTTCAGCAAGCCAGGGGCGATCGCTGCAGGCACCAGCTGCCTCTCCTGCGTGTCTGGAAGGGGCTCAGCAGCGCAGGATGGGCCACGGCTCAGCATCACGGACCATCCCAGCAGCGAGAACATGCTGTTTCCTAACATCTGTTTCTCCCTTCCGACCCCTGAGCCAAGTTTCTCTGGTGGTTTCCTCCTCCTTTTCCAGCACAGCTGGGGCAGGGCAGGTCTCCAAGCCAGCTCCCCCCTTGCCATGCCCGCTGCGAGCAGCAGGTCCCGACATCCCCTATTCTGTCCTCCGTGCGCGATAGCACATCGCTCCAAAAGCCCCTGAAAAGAGAAGCCAGGCCAGTATGCAATCCCCAAACACATCAGGCTTTAAATCTAATCATTATTGAGCTGGTAGAAGAGGGCCAGGCCATGCTGGCTGGGGGGGGGGGGGGGTGGGGGGTGTCCCTTGGGCTCAGTGAGAGGCAGCACCAAGCACCCAGTTTGCCCTGTGGCCCCAGGGAGCCCAGCACTGGTGTCTGGCTGCTGCAGCACATTACCGGCGCGCACCTTTCCCCTTTGCAGGAGCCTGTCCTGCCGCATATCGTGTATATTTTTAACGCGTGTGTTAATTGAAGCAATCTGATTTTTATGTCGGGTGTATTGCCGGGCCAGGAGACATGTCCTTTGCAGTTATCACTCCATTAAAACAAGAGCACAGAGGCTGCCCGAGCTGGAGCCCGTGAGCGGCTGCGGGATCCCCACGCAGGTAGCCGGGCTGATTGCGGCTGCCGAACGGCCGCAGAGCCACAGAGGCAATTACTCAGCCTCTTGTAAAAAGCACAGCACTCTAAGGGGAGAGCAACCCTGTCTCATATTAAAACTATGCTAATTAGGAACTAATTACAGGCACAAAGATATTATTACCCTTGGCTAGCCTGCAGGCTGCAGCCTTGGTCCTGACTCCAAACTTCTCCAAGCCCGGCACAATCTCGGGGCAAGATGGGGACGTTGTCATTAATAGAAGTGGAGGCCAAGCCTCAAGTGAGCCAGGGCTGCCTGGTCCCCAGCTCTCAGATAACCTCAGCACCACTGAGCCTCATCCTGACATGACCTGTGCAGGACCTGTCTCATATTAAATGACTAAATTTATACCTGTGGGAGAGCTGGAATAAAACTGTGTGACTCGGGATTGCCTTGGACAATAAAGAAAACCAACAAAAACTGCCAAGGACACGCAGAGAGCCAGCACTGATCCCGTTGTGCTGTGCCCGTCCTTCCCCCTCCTGCACAGATGCTGGCAGTGCAGCTTGTCCCCCTTCCCACCTCCAAAGGCTTTGGACCATCCTTAAGTCTTTGCTGTTGTTTTATTCTCCCCTTTCTCCCCAGACAGGCAGCGGTGCCAGATGGGAGCTGGTGGCACGGTGACACCAGGACAGCCACCCCCCGGGCCAGGCACCCTGAGCCAGCCCCGGGGCTGGAAATGCCCCTGTGCTGCTGGTGGGTGCTGGAGCCTCACCCGTAACCCCTCGTCGAGGTGTCGTTGCTGCTGGTGGCACCTTTGGGACCCCAGCTGGGAGCAAAGCAGGAGCTGTTCTCCCGGAGGGAGCACAGGGACACCCCCAGGACCCATTTCTGAGCTGTTTTACATGGGAGAGCCTCAGCTGCACCCTGCGGGCCCAGCCCTGCTCCCAGCCCCTCGCCACCCGCGAGTATTTTCCTCTGCTGTCGCTGTTTGGATGCCAAGAGCTGTTTTGGAGCTGGGATGTAAACACTGAATCTGGCCCTACAGCAGGTCTCTGCAAAGTGACACGGGGCAGGCGGTCTCCTCCGTCAGAGGGGAGGTCAGCCGAGGCTCCAGTGTCCTCCTGCCACCCGAGAGTATGGCCCCGGGGAGCCGCTGCTCTGCCAGGAGCTGGGGATGGGGAAGCGGCGGGGTGGGGGGTCCTGCGGCACAGAGCCCACACTGCACCCCTGGGTGAGATGAGCTCGAAGCCAAAGGAAGGTTTTCACAGCCCGCTGGGGTCTCCTCGTTTTGGAGGGCCAGTTGAAAAGACACCCGTGGGCTTTGCGCCAGACCTCACCAGCCTTACAGGAGCGTTCCTTCAAAAACAACGTGCCAGTTTGAGGTCAGCGCAGAGGTTTGCTCCCCGCATCGGAGTTTGCTCTGCAGCTCCGGGCAGCCCCCGCCACCCCTAGGGGTAGGGACAGGACTCGCCCCTCACGCTCTGCTGTTGCGAGGGGTCTGCTTATGTCCAAAAACTTTTCACCAGACCTACCTGGAGGCCGGGCTTTAAAGGTTGGATGAAGTCACGGTGGAAATCCCGGGGCAGGCGCTGGAGAGCTGATTGCTTGGGACGCGGGACAGGGGCCGTGCTGGAGGGAGGCACCTTCGGGCAGGACTCGCTGCCCGTGCTCGTTCTTCTCCAGTTCACGTTGATCTTTCCAGGAGAACTGGCACGGCGCCCTGACTCTGCGCCCCATAAATGAGGCGCAGCATCAGCTGTCATGTCAGCAGGAGACAAAATATTTAATGTGAAAGGCTTTAAATGGAAGCAGGAAATGAAAAGATAAAGGGCAAATTTTATTTTAGATTCCTTGTTGGTACATATTTTCCTTTTTGACAGTAAGGGGATGTGATGGCTTTATCAGCCCACCGTTGGAGAATTTATTTATAGAAACTTAATACTTTGCAAGAAGGTGGGAGGGGGATGTTAGCAATTCTGGTTGAGCGAATGCAAGTTGTAAGAAGAGCAGGGCAGGGGGATGAAGAACCCAGCTATTCCCTCTTCTTTGAATGGCCCTGGGGTTCTGGGAAAACTGCTAGTACCACAGAAATTATCAATGCAGTTTGTACAGAGCAAGCAGGAGCTTGGCAGTGAGCGTGGCATGAAACTAGTCTCTGCTCTCAAGATAGTAAATGAAAGAAGGGACACGGAGGGAAGACTATTGCTGAAAATACCACGGCAGCTTGGCTGAAAGCAAACATCCTCTGGCACGTGTAATTACACCAAACCAAAGACTATTTCCTAACCCTGAATATATTTCAGCTGTAACTTAGCAACCTGGACTGGGTAAAAGCATCTGAGCAGGAATGCAGGTTCAGAGGAGAGATTTAGCCTTGCGTTGCCTTTTGTTCCCATACCTTAGCAACAACTCAACGCCAGAGAGGATGGAGCCAGCTCCCACTGACTGCCACGGAGCCAACCTCCTCCTGCGCCGGTGGAAATCTCCCCCTTTGTCATCCAGACCTACATTATGAGACTAATTAAACTTTTCGCTAACCGAACGAGTGACTCAACCACGTCCACAGAAGTTACGCAACGATGATTCATGGACTACTCGTGCTGTGTCCGGAGAAGACTCTGAAGAAGCTGAAACTCACGGTAGCACATGTTCTGAGTCACTCGTGCTCAGGTGAGAGAGGAATTAAAAACACCCATGGAAATGGACCCTGAAGACAACTCAGACCCTGCATCAAGATGTGTTTATGTGTCTTCTACTCACCAGGCAACCTTGGAAACCTTGGGGATCTGGTGAACAGGCTAAGACTTGACTTTTTGCCTTTTTCCTTGACAAAAATCCCCCTTTTTACAGTGCTTTGTAAAAGCCTTGCTTAAAGCTTGTTAACCCTTGGAAGAGGAGGAGGGAAGCGATGTATCCAGTGACAAGAAACAGCCTGGGAGCAAGGGTGGGAAGGGACATCCATCCCACTCCAGCACCATATCCAACACTTCCCTTATTGCTTCCCAGTCTTCCAATGCCGTCACCGGACACTTCACATCACGTCCCAAAAAACCAGGCGAGCTAACCAGGCCCCGAGGATGCCACAACACACACAGGATCAGCAGCTTGGACCAGAGTCAGGGTTTTCTGCAGCAGCTGTTGACTACAGACACCCAACGCACGAGGGATCTGCCTTTCACGGAACAACTGCAAAACACATGAAGCTTGAGGCACCCTCACTCAGTTACCACAGACTTATTGCACCATCCCATTCCCTGCTTTAAATAACTGCTTTATGATGGGCCACAGGAATACTGATCAACCTGCTAAACTAATACAATTTCACAACCCGCCAAGCTGTCAGTCTTTAGAAAACGCAGCTAAAGACGCTAACTGCCTTTCACACACACCTCTGCTTCATGCCAACTGTTCCCAAAACACAGATTTCAGTTGCAACCAAAAAACTTGGCGATTGCGCCCAGGTCAGCGAGCGTCACAAGGATCCACGCTGTCTCGTTAGGCTGTCATGCAATCCCCATGACATCTTCAGTCTTATTCTTAGAAACTGTGAGCTCCCCGGCACAGGATCTATTTGATCTGCCTGACCGAAAGCACTTGGAACAATCTGTGACTCCTCAATAAAAATAAAGGTAACGAGTTATTTGTAATAAATTTATTTTATATATGGATTTACAGAGCTAAATTGAACATATAAACAGCACCAAGCTAGTAAAATTTATTCTACAAAAACAAGTTTAATGCTTAAAGATGACTGCAACGCCTGACTCTTCACTCCAGGATTTGGACGGATTAAAAAAAGCTAACCCAAACCCCACAAATATTTTAAAAAGGCTTAAGAATGTAGGCACTGGTGTTTGCAAAAATTTCTAAGGCAGCAGTGATGATCTTGTTACAGTTTAGAAGAATCAAGCTGCCTTCGCTTTATCCCGTTTTATTAATGGTGGAAGAAGCTGGTCACTGAAGACAGCTGTCGAGTCTCATCTCCTCTTCTGTTCAAACACCCTGCCTTCGCAACCAAAATTAAATATGGGGTAAGAGTCAACTCCACGCAGGATATTTCCCAGTTAGCGGGAAACACCTCCCCGTGTTTAGTTTCCGGAGAAACCTGCTCTCTCCGCTCGTTTCGGCTGACCAGGTACACCAGGAGTCCCTGCAGCCCTTCGGCAGCGGCCCGCGGGGTGCGGAGGTGCCGAAGCCCACGGCGGGCAGCAGCGGGGCGGAGGGAGAGCAGGCTTCACACCGCGAGGTGAGCAGGGACCCTCCTTGGACGTGGCGTCACCAGCCTGCGAAGCGGGGAGCGGGGCTTCGGCCCCCGGCCAGCGCGGGGGAAGCTCCCCCTGCACCCGCCGGCGGAGGTGAGCGCGAGCGTCCGCGCTGTACCCGCGACGCTAAGGAGAACGACATCCATGGGTCACACAGGTTCAGATCAAGGCTGGCTTCTCTTCGCACGTTTTACTGGCTTATGCCAGGAATTAATTTGGTCCCTGCTGTCTTAGCGGTGAGCTGGACAGCTGCTCTGCAGTACTGGGAAGAGCAGATTAGCAGTATCTCTGCCTAGCCTAAACTGCCACACACCGGTGCTATTTTCTTTGAAACAAACACTCCTTTGCTGGACATAAAAAGAAACTTAAGTAGCAAAATGGTTATAGATACAAAACGCAATGCCTGCAGCAGGAAGAGAGGATGGATTGCTGCTCCCTGTACCTATTGTGAGGCTGCAGGAACACTGACTTGGCGATCCCTGTACTGACACTCCACGCGTGGTAGGTACATCTCTGCTCTGACACACAGCACATACATTGCAGCTGCCCAGGATAAACATGTACATTCAGTCCTAGCAGCCTTTCCAAAGCTGCTCTTTAATAGCCCATGAAGCAGTCCCTTTGGCTGCAGCCACAAGAAAGCGCCTTCTGAAGCTTCCTACATCCTTTATTTTCCACCCAAATTTCCCACCCCCCCACCCCCCAGAAATCATAAAGCACACAGACTGCAGACTTAAAAGGTATAACAGGGTCACAGCCACTCCTCCATCCCATCCAACCCAGCCCAAACCACCAAGGCACATTCGACTGCCCTCCCTCTAGGACTATCTTCACCTGACTTTTCCCCTTCTCACCCATTTTTAAAGGGTGAAGCCAACACAGACATTTTCCTCTCTAGGAAGCAGCAAGTGCTTTCATCACTGTTTTTGCACAGATAAAAACAAATTCTAACAAAATGCATCTTAACTGCCATCCTAATGTTTCCATGGGAAATGTTAAATCTTCTTTAAACACATTCCCTGATGGACATTGCCACCAGTTGGCCTTTGCAGAATTAAGGTCAAATTTTAAACACCTGTGCTGTGTCAGAGAGATCTTAAGTCTCTCCGTATTAGGTATGCTTTTTCTTTTTTTCTTTTTAAAAGGTTATTCTAGGTTTGCTTGCCTACAGAAGCCAGAAGGCTAACTTTGGCACAATTCTTGCTTCCCACCAGCTCAAGCCCATCTTCTTTCCAAGCCAACATTATTGCCCTGAATTTTTGTGTGTGAAGATTTTCAGAAAGAAGAGCAAAGAGATATGTGCAATCCCCAACCCTAGGAGATTAGGACCGTAACCTGCTCTTTCCCACCACCAGAGAAGGGACTGTCCCCTTGCAAAGGTCCGTATCAACAGTTGCTCAACTTCTGCTCCTCTTCAGTGCTCTGAATCTGAGACGTAAGAAGGCTGAGTCCATCTCCACACAAGCATATCTTCTCCTGCTACTCTGTGTGACTCTGTCTGAATCCGTGATTCATTTGAAGCCAGAAAGTCCACAGCCCTCTCCCAGACCCGCTTCATTTTTTTCCTGCAAGAAACAGCAACAAAAAGAAAATAAACTGGAATCATATCCTCATTGTGCTTTCCTGCTTACAGCAGCTGTGGCTGCCGATCAAGCTACTGCTAGCTGCCTCCTGTTCCTCGTGCAGACAGTAAAGGAGATTAAACCAGAATTCTGGTTTAGAAGCAATTTCAGGCCAGGTCATGAAAACACAAGTCCTGCCCCGGGGTTGGGAAGACAAGACCCCTCTGTCAGCACCAGTAATTGATGACTGCCCTGAATTTCAAGCTCAATTCATATTGCGAAGGGACTCAATTAGCAAACTGCCCTCACTCTTCCTGCATGCAGAGAGATCTCAGACCAGGGAAGACAAACTGAAGCTCACCCCAGTTTTGAATCAGTGTCCAGTAATTGTGGGCACCGCACACACGGAGATCTGTTCAAACCAGATGAAGTTACCACTAGTAGGAAAAGGAATTTTGTGACTGATAAAGAGTGAGGACCTTTAAGACTTCGCAGCACACATAGCATTCTGTGTCATCAGGAGAACAAAGTAGCTCCATTTAACCAAAACACAAGAAACACTCCTTCGGAGATGGAGCAAGTGGCATCTAAAGTAAGAACCAGGCTGCCGACCTCTGGCCCCACCACCCATGGAGCAAATCTCTTGACCACAGCTCCTTTTTGCAAAAGCACCAGAACCAGCCATCTCACCCTATCTCCCTTTCAAGTTGCCCAACTCAAACTTGCAATTTTCCAAGCAGCAACATACACAACCACTTCAGAAGAGCCTCCCAATACCCTACTCAACTCATGGGAAGGTTTGTTCTGCAAAGCACAGCACCTGTCGGGAGAATAAGGTACAACTGCTGAGAAAGAGGATAGCATCCAACACATGTTAGATGTAGGAGAGAAAATCAGATGTTCCATGCCCAAGCAAAACAAAATCCAATTACTGTTTGATAGAACAATGACAATACACCTGTGTCACTGCACAAAATATCAGCCCTGGGACTGTCACATTAATCTGCAGCAGGTTAAGACATAGCCTGAGTTATGTCAAAATCCTTTATAAACTGAAGGGACAGACACACTCTTCTTGCAGTCCAGCTTCCCATCAATTGTCTGCTCATGGTCCATTGCTCCATAACTGCATTTCTTAGCTGAGCTGCAAAACATCATGCTGACAGCCCTCCTTAATGAATAAAATTCAGCTCACCTGCTTTGAGGAGGGATGAGGCTGTCCCGAACATGGAAAATGCCGACATAGGGGTAACGCTCCAAATTCCGTTCCCATTCCTTGTAGTGGTCCTGGACTACAGCTGGAGGGCAGGAGGACAAAATAGTGAGAAATCTCAACACTGCAGAGGGGAGAACAGGGCTACTTGCATTTACAGAGCTACTGGATTCTACCTATGATCTTCTTCACCATTTCATACATGGCTTGTTCCTCTTCCTCCATCTTCCGCCAGCGATACCTAAGGAAGATCAGGATCCCCCAGAGGATTATCAGACCTAGAAAAATAAAACCAAATGGAAGTTAGTAACTGACAGATGCATACTTGCTGGATGCTAGCAGTTTTATTTCCGATGCTACCCCTCCCCAGAGGCGGCTTTCACTCCCTGCTACCCAGGCCTGCTTGGAACTGAATCCAAGCAATTCATTTTGTTTACCAGTGCAGCTGCGCCCCGCAAAAACCTTGGTACTGACGACACCTGCAGCAGAAGAGCACGTGTGGATGTGGGAAGAGGTGGTTGGAAGGCCTCACCACGGAGTTTCCCTCCCCATCGCCACCCTAGAAACCTCAGCACAACCACAGGGCTTCAATTCTCTAAATCCCAGAGCTATCTCTTTGCTAGAGGCCTCCCCCACAATAATCACTTAGGAAGACTGTCAAGCTTCACTGCTCCGAAGATAGCCGCCTGATAAGGAAATAAAGCCCGGGGCTCCAGCACAAGCCCAAAATTCAGGAGATCTATATTGAAGGTTTAGCACTGACAAATGCCCCCATTACACCATGAGCTAACTTTAGTATCTCAGCCTCTACAATAAACATAACTATCCCCTTTCACCCCCACCTTGTCTGGTTAGATTATAAACTCTTCTAGTCAACACTCATCTCTCGTTATCACCTCACTCAGTAAGACCTCTGTCTCAGCTGGGGCATGACAGACTACTCCAATAAAACCTCTAACACTAAAATGCTACAAGTCGTTATTAAAGAGGCTAGAAGACTCTGCAGCTTAGTGCAAGAAAAGAAAGAAAAACTTGCATCTTTTAGGTAAGTTAACATACTTATTTTGCAGACCGTAGTAATGGGTACTTGAGAAATACCCAGAGAGCTAATCAGCTTGCTGATTTAAAGTAAGTGTTAAGCACTCACAGCACAAGAGCAGGTCTACAGGTCTCCCTCTGCTGCCAGAACAAAGGTTAATTAGAAATTAACTCATCAGTAGGTTTATTTCACCTCTGTTACCAATTTCATATGGCTGGGAGAATGTGTGCACGCGCACAGGTTCATCTCTACAGCTAGCAAGGGGAGAAGCTGATTACTAACACCGACAACTTACACCAGAAAAACAGGAAAAGGTTCATAATGGCCGTGACCACTGCCCGACGGAAACGGCAGCCGAGCCCCATCTGAGGATGGGCTGATTCAAGACAGAACACTTCCTCCACTCTGGTAACTGGTTCCGAAAGGTCTCTGCCTTTCAACCTGATGGGAAGAGGCAGAAAATCTTCACTGAAGAGAGCAGACACTCCAACTGCAGTCTTTAATCAAGACAGGGAGAACAAACAGACTGCGGATGCAGTAACTCGTTCTGTACACCACACAGAAAATACACCAACATCCTTGCAGCTTGTCTTTCCAGAACATTTTGGGACTGGCTGCTTAGCAAGGAATGGATATGGCTTTAGAAAAGGCAGCAGGGCTGGAACTCCCACTGGTAAACTGAAGTCTCCCTCTGCAGACTCTTTGACAGCACCTCTCAGCGTGCAGAAGATTAAACTTTAAATTGGATTCCCACCTCCCAGCATAGAGAAATGGAAATGTTTACTGAGTCACTCATCAGCAATTGCAGAGAGAGCAGTTGAGGGAGACTGCGAATGTCTGTGGAGGTTGCGCTGTTTTCCTCAGTACAGATGAGCATAAACAGTTTAGCTAGAAAAGTGACAACGCATCAACTGTATCTGCAGTGAGAACAGACACACCCTCGGAAAGCATTCATGGCAAAATCGATAACACATCCTCCTGCAAAATCACTTCTACACACCTGCTGTGCTATCCGATATGCTTTTTACCCACTTCTTTGTATACAGGTCTACACTGATGCGGTTTCCTTATTAGATACACTTAGCCAACAGGCATCAAGTAATCCAAGTGAGAGCCATCAGATTCAGAGGAATTTAGACTAAAGGGGATATTATTTTTTTAAGCTACTAATTCATTCTATGTTTGCAATGAATAACCTATTAGACAAAGACGTTTTCTCAATTTACTAGTGCACAGCTCACAAACTGCTGGCAGCTTGTACTTAGCTACTGGATTCTACAGTAGCTGGAGACACACAGTTGTTTCCCACCCCCTTGTCTTATTTACAATCCAAATTCCATGAAAATATTTAAAATATGCAGCAGAATCACCCAGTGCAGAGCTCATTTTCAGTTCTGCCTCCCAGACTAGCACCTAGAAAAATAATCTCATGTAGCATTTGCTAAAAAATGCCACCAGCAGGTTTTTAAGCATGCTGAACACTCATTCTGCATGCTATGCAGACTTCGTGAAAGTGGATCCATTCAGCCAACAGCCAGCGGAGCTGCTAATTATGAAAAAAAAAAAAAAAAAAAGGGAGTATATTGTATCACACAGCTCATGACATAAGCAATGCTCCTGTATAAAAGTATGAATTTGAAAACTCTGGATCCCAGCCCACCTACAAATCCAAACCTGCCACTAAGGAAACTCTATCCTGTCCTGTGAATTTCCACACACCAATAATCAAAGCAGTAGACACATGTCTGATTCCTAAATCACTGCAGTAGCTGCAGGAATTTTTCAGAGAAAAATCGAGCAGTGGAAATTCATACAAGCTATGCCCACCCAACTCCAGCGTTACTACTGTTACAATTCATTTAATCAGAGATGCGTTTAGCAATGTTAAAATGCAAACAAATGTTAGACTTCAGAGTTAACACAGACTGGAAGAAGCCCACACTTCCCAGAAGAAGATAATGATGTCTGTGGACTATGGGTAAGAGTCTTTCATTAGGTTATAGCCCGAATGTTGCATTTTTTACCTGAAAAAAATAGTACTTCTGCTATTTCTCATGTACTGAAGAGGCTGCTAGCCAAGAAACCCCAGAGAAAAAAGCCCCACCAATGACCAACCAACACCCTAAATAGTCAGTAAGACCGTTCGTTTTAACATGTACTGTGTGTTCTGCCAGAAAGACAACTGACACTAAAAAAAAGGCACCATTCAAGAATTCATTTTCCTCTCCTCCTCATCAGGACTTGCTCCAAAGGATCCCAAAGCATGGGTGACGTTACCCACTGAAGAGAGTGCTTTGCTGTCCAATAAACCCTTTGGTCAAAGGATGCAGTTCCACACAGTACTACAGCTCTGTCTCCGTTAACTGTACTGAAGAAAAGTTATATTGGGAAAAGCAACTGCAAGGGCAAGTTTAAGCAGCGTGCTGTAGTCACAGGAGTGTGGGCAGGACACCAGGACCATCACCTCTAATCTTGCGAGAAGCACAACCCAACCATTGACAGCCATAAGGAGCCCTGACCTCACATTTATGCCTCATCTGCAACCAGTGTGTTCGTGAACACAGTGAACACAGTGTCCCCCATTGCAAAGGCTCCCAAGGAATGAGCTCAGTTGCCAATTTTTGTGGCAGGGCTGTACTTTTCATTTGGAAGCTTGCCCAGCAAGCACTGGTAAAGCCAATCCCAGATTATCTTCTGGAATCTAATGAGGTATGGGAGCTTTTAGGGCACACCACAAAGGATGTCAGATTACGTATCAGCCAACACCAAGAAACATAACTTTGACACAGTGGGCTTCCACTTACCATATTCCCAAATCCTTGTTACTGTTTAGTATCCAGTGCAGGGCAGCTTCAAACTTCTGTGGGGAACTACCAGTTATATTCTGTTCAGAAAAATCCGTAAGAAGATTAGTTCTCCATTCATTTAAAATACTGAATAACGCTATTCCATTACAGTGGTGGGAGAATTTGTTCTATACGGTCTGTCCCTAGGTTAATTCTTATCATAACTCTGCAAACTGGAGGAAGGAGAACTAAATCTGAAGGTCTGTCTGGACTAAAGTCTTCTGACTATGATAGACGATGCATGAAGCACTCTGTGAAATAACACTATCCCAGACTGTTAAGACTAACCACTAAATACAACATAATCTTACTGACAGTTTACCATGAAAGAAATGGAATGCTAGATCAAAGCAGTCTGTCTTCTGACACTTTGGGGTATAGAAAAATCCTTCTTCCGCCCAGCCCTCAATCCAAGGAAATTTCTGGTTTCAGAAGACTGATGACTATGGTGAAACAACAAACCGTTAAGTTAGATTTACAGGGGCTGAATCAGAGATGTTGGAGAAGATTATTTTCAAAAGAACTGCTGAGAACAGGACTGGCCAAAGGGGAAGCTAGAGATATGGGAAAGAATCAAAACAGGATGAGGAAGTAAAACAGATGGTGAATTGCTTTAGTATCTATTATTTATTGCCTTATAAGAGACTAAGCACTACGTTATAACAATAGCTGTTCACAGCCTACTCACCACCACATGATCCTTCGCTTCACTAACCCAAACGCATTTGCTCTTCAGATTCTCAGGGTTTCCGCATTCAAAATTACCTGGTAAAAAAGTCAAACAGAAATAATGTTTTGAAAAAAAGCCCTTGAACAGTTCAGAAACACACTAAACTGTCTGGAAATGCCATCCTTTAAAATCTGCTATAGCTCTGAGCAAAATGATTACAAGGTAAGATTGATACTGTAGGCAGATAAGATTATGACTATTAATAAAATGCTCAGCCGCTGCACATAGGTTGGATAAGGGCAATCAAACCTCACACTTCAGTGTGTGAGCTACTCAACACAGAATGAAGGGGAAAAAATACTGTTTCTCCCCCTTGCAAGGTACATAACCATCTTTCCGACCTTATGTCCTGCAGAGGGGTTCCTTCCATCAGATATCAAATGCTGTAGTGTTGGAGTTAGTGATCAGCATTCAAAATGCTTCCAAGGAGCCTAAATTGCAGCTCTACTTTTTACCCAGGCAGAGAAATGCTGGTGAGGAACTAAATCTTATAAATCTTCCTTTATAAAGTTGACTAAACAAATGTGCTGAGAACCTATGCAAAACTGGTGGAAATTCTGCAGGTGCCGAAGTCTGATTTGAAAAGATTTAGAAATCCTGTGAAGCTTAAGTATCTAAAGGCTTCATCCTTGTTGAGGTCTGAAAATCTAGAAAATGGAATTTAAGTACTTTTACTGATTAACACTGTTATACATCTTGCTGAACAAGTTCCTACTCATACACTGAATATCTAGCAGCCTTCTCCATCACAAAACACTAGTTATGGACCAGAGTTGGTCATACATAGTAGAGGCTAGCTGAACTACTGTGCTCGGTTAGCTCCTCATCTAGGAGAGCCTGTCTTAGTTGGTACTGAGAAAAAAAGAGAGGCACTCCTATAATTAACTGCCACATTTCAGCAGAGAGCTGGCAATTTCTTAAGTCACTTTATTTGTAAGAACACGTCAGCTTACACTTACTGGCTCTGAGTGTCTTGAAGACAATTTCAAGACGCTGGTAGAAAAGAACCATAAAACTGAATATTTCCACCTCAAATTCCCAATATATCAAGTGCAAATAAGGACCACTCCACAAGAGCACAGTGATATGAATGCATTAGCTAAGCACTGTTCAGAATAAAAATAAACAGACCTTTTTCTATTTTTCTATTACCTGACTTTCTCAGAGCCTTTCAAGTGGAACTGACTGTTCCATAAACCCCTTCTCTTCAAACTGAGGTCCAGAGAGCTGGGAGAGGCAGTTTACTGAATGCTTGTAAGTGTTTTATAATGACAATTGGAACTTACCAGCTTGTACAGACAAGTAGTTATACAACTCGTGCAGCATGTTCATTATTATGTCCTTCTGTTTAGCTTGACAGAACTGAAAGTCACAAACAGGTAACAAACATGAATAGACAGGCAGGAACAGGACAGCGGTCAGACTAGCTAAAAACATCAAAACAAAATACCAGCAGTGAGGTTTAGCTCAGCCATGCACCACTAGTTCAAATTAAACACATCTGCAGCAAAGACCTAAGTTTCTGAGTCAAAAGCAAGACAGTGCATCCTCTGAAAGTGCCACTGACTTCCCCAGCCCAGACTGGGCCACCAGACGTCCCTGCTGACTGACCACAGGTGGCTTCTTTGCCTCCAGAACATCACAGAAGATTAAGCATAACTCTGAATTCAATACAAAATTTTCTCTCTCCTAATAATACATTAGGATAAAAGAAACAGGGCTGTACAAACACTTCATGATGGAGTTCAGGGAATTAGTTGGATTAAATCTTGTATTGTTAAAGCTGAACACAGCTTTATTGCAAACCAATATCAATTCTGTTACAACTATTAAAGAAATTGATTCACATAATTGGGAATTTAAATTTTTATCTTTCAGAGTCTCATATACAGTTCTAATTTAATCTGGCTCATTAATTCCAACTCATCAAATCAAAACTGTTCTGTAAAATGATAAAACTAATACTTTTACAGTAATACTGATACTGTTGGAAGTGACCTAGAATAATTACTCTTCTGTGAAAACTCCCTGTCCACAATACCTGAAGATAAATAAACATGTGCTTACATCATCCGTTCTTTTGTCACAGTCCACAGGCAAGAGATTAACTATGAGAAAGAAGGGGAAGGCAAATTAGTTGGCTGCAAAACAAGAGCTTTGATCAAAAAAGTAATTATTTTTTTAAAAGAGGGCTCTACTTTAAAGCCCGATTCCTCTATTCTTAATTGCACTCTACACAGTGCCTTGCTATGCAAATAGCGCATTCAAAGCACTGCTTTGGTGGGCAGCACTGAAAGCAAAACAAATAAAACAGGTGCAAACGATGAACATCGTTCAGCTGGAAAGTAAAAACTGGGGTCTGAATACTTTAACAGATCCTTTTAAGTAGATGTTTCGTGCTCTACTACCTACTGCTTTGCACTGATCTTTTACAGTCTAGTAATGCCATTCGCTGCGTGCCATGGTCACCTGAAATATCACGGTGATAACAGGGATTTAAATCAAGCCTCCTCAAGGCAAAAGCGGAGGATTTATTTTAGTTGGAGCTGCTAGCTCTGCAGATTACAGCCTCTGGTTTAACAGCCCCCTCCTGCCCTGACAACTGGATATACACCGGCCACCAGTCCACCACGCAGCACTTTCTAGCAATCTTAACTGCCTGCGAATTTAAAGAATTTGCAGCTGTACCACAAGATTTCTTGCTTCAAAATACCACTGGTTTCAAAATAGCTAACAAAGTTGTAAAGGGTGCATCAGAAATTCACTGACATCGGACAGTTTTATTCTGACTTTGAGAAAGCAGGAAACAGCTTTCCCAGCCCATGCAAAGTGCACAAACACTTACAGGCGGAGCGAGCTGAGGGTCAGGACTCGCACCTTCCCAACCAGACCCCAAGCCCTACTTTCAGTTCAAAGCCATGAAATGCCAGTATTTCCATCTGTTCTAGCTGGTGAATGCTGCTTTTAAAACCAGGTGATGGGGAAGCCCTTTTAATTTCTTCTGGAAGCTCTGGAACACTTGAAGTGCCAAAGTACTAATTCAACCGTTGCGCTTTTCACGTGGCCAGGATAAAGGCCATGAAGGGCTGTGCTGTGCAGAGGCTAACATTAAAGCCACACAACGGGCCATTACACAGACATTATGTTACACAACGGACAATCATAAAACGCATCCTTGGCCTAGCAGGAATGTCACTCTCCATAAAATCCACGGTTTTGAGGAACCGAAGGCCAAACTCGTTTGAAAAAAAGCACACACTTGACTTACTTTCCATGACTAACAAGGTTTCCCATGGGCAAGGGGAGATGGAAATGTGGACAGAAGCAAAGATGTCAGGTTATAGCAATGAGAATGATAAACGTGATGGCAATGGAAGTAATAAAGCAGAAAAGAAAGGTGAAGAATGAAGTTTAAAAACAGGATTAAACCAGTGCACGTACAGTTATCCTCTCTCCTGTCAAGCCAGCCTGACCCAATCATCTTCACCACGAGGATGCCCAGAAAAATCATCAGCAGCACAAAGCTGGCGAGACAGAGGAACTGGGAGAGGTAGTACTCGAGGCCTTTGCCCTTTCCCTCCATCTGCTGCTTGGGGGCTGACCGCAACAAGTGAGTGCGGGAGGTTATTCCCCGCCCTGCTCCCGACGCTTCCCACCGGCTCCCTGAGGCCAGCCCCGCATCAGCTGGAGCCCTCCACGGGAACCGCCGCATCAATCCCCCTCCCCTGCTGCCAGGGTTCAGCTCCCTGTCTGCCTCCTTCCGAACGCTGGAAGCCAAATCCTCTTTCCCTCTCCCAAACTGGTGACTCAACCCCCCAGGTCCCACCGAGGTGCCCCAGTGGGAGCTGGGTGTCACCTCGCTTTCCTGCCTCCATGAGCTGTTAGAGGAGAGCCCCTTCCTTTCCCCTGCTGTCTCCCACTGAGCTCGGGAACTCACCCCCCCAATACCTCCTCCCGACATCCCCCAATGGCTCCTGGACTTCAGATCCCCACTCTCATTGCTGGAAAGTGGTTTAGAGCCGAGTCCCCCACTCCTGCCTGTGGAGGTACCCCAGGGGGACATGGAGCTCAGCCCCCCAACCCCATCCAAGGATGCCCCCAACCCCGCCCTGATGCCAAGCCCCCCACTTCTCTCTGCAGATGGGCTCCACTGGGATGTGGAGTTCGACTCACGAAACCTGTCCAGGGACGGCCTCAACCCCGTGCTGAGCCCCCCACTTCTCTCTGCTGACGTGTCCCACTGCAATGAGGAGCCTGAGCCCCGAAACCCATCCAGGGACAGCTCTGACCTTGCGCTGGGCTCCTCACTTCTCTCCGTAAATGTGCTCCATTGGGACATGGAGGTTGGCTCCCGAAACCCATCCAGGGATGCCCCCAGCCCAGTGCTGAGCCCCCTGCTTCTCTCTGCAGATGTGTACCACTGGGACTTTGACCCAGCCCCAAGCCCCCCACTTCTCTCTGCCGATGCATCCCACTGGGAATGGGAGCTCAGTTCCCCGTGTCCATCCAGGGATGTCCCCAGCCCAGCCCCAAGCCCCCCACTTCTCTCTAGAGATGTATCCCACTGGGAGCGGGAGCTCAGACCCCCGAGCCCACCCAGGGATCCCCCCAGCCCAATCCCGGCCCCCCCACTTCTCTCTACAGACACCCCCCACTGTGCCGAGGGGCTCAGCCCCCCAAAGCTGTCCCGGGACAGGCTTCCCTCAGCCCTGGAGCCGAGTCCTCCGCCCCGGCCGGGGGGGGACCCCCGGGAGTCCCCCCAGGACAGCCCACCACCCTCCCCAGACGTCCCCCAGCGGGACGCGGGTGGTCGCCCCCCTTCCTCCTCCTCCTCCTCCTCCTCCTCCTCCTCCTCCTCCTCCTCACTGTCGCGGGCGGCCCCGACGGGGCTGAGGGTGAAGTCGGAGCGCTGCCGGGAAGGAGAGGCCTGCTGCGGCCTAGCGGCGGTGCGGGCCGGGCTCGATGACGGGCCGCGGCCCCTGCGCCTGGCCGCCGCCATCTCAGCCCGCAGGCAGCCCAGCTTCTTAGCGTAAACCTTGCGGGTGGTGGCGGTGATGGGCCCCGGCCGGTAGCCGAGAGCGATCAGCTCCTTCCGGAGCTCCGCATCTGTCAAGTCCGCCATGGCCGCAGCGCTGACACCAGGCCCCACCGGAAGCGCTCTAGCGAGGAGGGAAGCGCGGCCGCCATCTTGGGTGGGGCCTGCCAGCCCCTCTCGGGCGGCCATCTTGGGAAGGGCAGCGCGGGGCTCAGCCATGCACGGCCGGCGCCATGTTGCTAAGGGAGGCGGGGGGGAGGGGGTAGGGGGCGCCATATTGAGAAGGTCGAAGGAAAAAGGTGCTTCCCGGATACCGCTCCCGCCATCTTGGGAAGGCAGGGTCGCTGATTCCGCCATGTTGAGGAGGTCAGGAGGGGTCTCTCTCAGAGAGGGAATGGCGCTGTGCGGGAGCTGTTGCTCATCTCAGGAGAGGGGAAAGGACGGAGAAATGGAGAAAGCGAAGGGCAAAAGCATCCTCAGCATCTGAGTGCGTCCGTCCATCACGCTGAGGTACCCTGCTCAGGAACAAGCAGTGAGGTTGAGCACCTCTCGCCTCACTCCAACCAAGCCACACCAATGTTTTTCTTGCCTCACTCCAACCAAGCCACACCAATGTTTTGACACTTCTAAGGACATTTATGAGGAGAAAGAAATATCTTTCCCAGCCACCTGCCACTCCCCCCCCACCCCCACCCCACCCCCCCCCGTTTCCCTCATCTCTCTCATCACTGCCAAGTGACAGACATTGAACTGGCATCTGTCAAGTGGGCTGGAGCTTTGCCATGACTTTCAGCAGGATCAGGATCCGGGTCTTCGGGATATTTGCTAGGGAAGGAGGTTCCTTGCATACTTTGCAGCCTAAAAAGGCAAAACCAAGCATCAACTTGAAAATTTATTTTGGCACAGCAATGATGTACAGTAATTGCTTTTTCTTGCTGCCGCCTATAAAGAAAGTAATGAAAGTGGCTGAAATACTGTGGCGTAATATCAGAATTTAATTAAAGGTAATGAAAAAGTAGTGATGAATGCAGGCTGTCTGTGCATTGCCATTTTTATGATTGACACATGATACTGGAGTGATAGAAACTTGGTGGTCCTGCAGGAGTGGGAGCTGGTGGGGGCTCCGGGAGAGCTCTCAGCGTGGACACCCACGGCTTGCTACCGTGAGGCTGGAGATGCTAGCCTGTGCCTTCGCAACATAAAAACCACTTTAGGGATACCCCTCCTTTCACACCCACCCTGCTGCTGTGCCCTTCTTGTTCAGGGCACCAGACAAAGCTCGCCTCGCTATTCCTGATTTATGCAAGAAAGCAGCAACAAGCTGCTGAGATTTGTTAGTCTGGTTAGCAACAACAAATACACACTTAGTAGAGGCCAGGGAGCCCATTAAAAGAGCATACTCGGTTCTGATGGGAAGTGTGAACGTGCTAAGCCAAGCCTCCCCTGCTCACTAACTGGAAAGCACAACTGACAGCTAATAATGTGGCGCAGTGTCTAATGTAAATACAGAATTATAATATGCTCTTAGTACCCAGTTTCTGTAAGCTCACAGCTTTTAGTTTGGAGAATCTCTGCCTAGACATGCAGATGCATGCTGGCATCTAAGCCTGAGCTGATACAAGCCCGTGAATTAAGTGAACTCTTTTGTTTTGGAGAAAAAAGAGCAACAGCAAAAACCCCAAAACCATCCTCCCAACTTCTTGTGTTTCTGGAGGTCAGGGAAGTTATACCAGGACAGAGTTTGTCCCAGCAGCCTCATTTCATGACCTTCCGAGTGGAGAACATGGGAGTGGTGTTTGAAAACTGGAGGGCTGGGGAAAACCTGTGATTCCTTCACAGAAGGGAGGTTGGCAGCGCTGAAGCTCAGCAGGAACAGATGCCTCTTCTTTGTGGAGAGAATCCACAATCCTTCTCCCTTCCTCCCTAGCAAGACAACCCTCGGGAGCATCCCTGCCTTCCCTTGAAGGTACCTGGACACCGTGGAGAAGGCAGCAGGAGAAGACAGCCCTCCGTCTCTCAGACGTGACAGAGCCTATATCCCCATGGAAAATCACCTATTTGTTTCCATCACCCCGCCCACAGTGGCGATGATGAGGCTGATGGTGGATTTTCTGCTTTTTGCAGCCCCTTCGTCATCCCCACAGCTCTGGGCAGCCACAAAGGCTGCTGGGGCGAGCACAGGCCTGCTGATGCTGCAGATGGGCTGTGATGCTTAGAGATGCTCGACTGTGAAAAGCCAGTTTCCCAGCCCACGGTGTAGCCCTTGAATATCTTGGCTGTAAATATCCTGAGCTGGATGTGGGAAGATGGGACAGCGAGGAGGGGACAGCCTCCACCTTCCTTGCTAGCCCAGAAGCTGCCTTAGGCCTGCTGGCAGTAACTCAGATATCGAATGGGAAGAGCAGGCGTGCTGTGCCGTCTGCTTCTCCTCTTGAAGTATCAAGAACAGGACTGGTGTAAGCAGAGGGGTAGAAATAGATCTGCACTATCTTCATGAGACGCCCGAAGAGGGGAGCATGCTGCACCCCAAAAAGCACGGGCAGTAGATGAACCCTTCCACCCCCGATTGAGGGGCTGCTGAAAAAAACCTGCCATCCCACCCCCTCTTCTTATCCCATGGCATTTGGACGACAGTCCTGCATATGTCACCAGGGGAAGTGTCAAATCTTACTCAGGAGCCAACTGTGCCAATTTAACACCCTGTCACTCACAGCCGCAGCACAGGTGTGACCCAAGAACACCACTTCTCATCCTTCCGATCATATGTCATGTCCTCAGCTCTCTGAGCTTCTTATTAGGTTAGAAAGTCAGTGTTGATTTAATTCTTTTCTCTCCTCCTTCTCCTCCTTCCCTTGCCTCTTTCCCCCAACTGTTTGGCTGTTCATCTTGCCGTGAAACTCTTGTTCGGTTTCTAGACTGGCAAGATCTTCCTGCCTGCTTGCAGGCATGGACTTAGGTGCTACTGACTTCCAAAGCAGGCTTCCAGGGCACTGTGGATACGGATCTGTCCTGCAACTTGGAGACAATTTTGCTTCTTAACAAGAGATAAAGCCCTGACAGCAGGAGTCATACCTGGGAGGATGGTTGGGGTCCATCCATCTTCTCCTTCCAGCAGAAGAATATCTGCTTCTTTCCCACTATTCAAGCCTCTGAGGGTAGAAGCAAGGTAATTCCAAAAGCTGAAGGCCCCCTTGGACTTTGGTGCCTATTTGGACAGCACAGTTGTTGCTGCAGGACAAGACAGGGAGTTCATACTGTTACTGTCACAACCAGCCATGTGTCCCTGAACTCATTTATAACTGGGTCAACTGGGAAGAGCCATTGGCACACAACTGAGCACCGGGGTAATAGCAGACTTTTGCTGAAGAAGCTTGCCTGGGTCAAAAGAGCAGAGGGAAATATTCCAGCAAAGTCACATTGGTGGATCTCCTTATGGACCTCTGCAGCATCAGCCCCACCATCACCATGGTGGGAGATGGTCCAGGAAGCAAATCCAAGAGGCTCATGTTCACTTTCTTCCTTGCTATCACTGGACAACATTCCTTCCTAGATGGCACAGGGAAACCACTTGAGTGAAAGTGCTGGGCAAGGGGGGATGCTATAGAGACAGCGCTGACCTGCAGTGGAGCTTATGTAGGGTTTTTAGGAGCAGTTTGCCCCTCAGGTGAAAACTATCCATGTTTTTCCATGGCACAGCAAATTTAAAGAAGGGGTAAAAGTTTGGGTCTTTCAGAAAGAATGAGTCAACTGTGCCCCCTTTGAAGCAAACAGCCTTGCCTCTGGTCTTGCTGACCTCTGGTGTAAATGCAGTGCAGATCCTCTGGTGATTTCCATGCTGGGTATCCCATGGATTTCACTCCACTGCAGACTGATTTGCACTGGCTGAGCTCCTATAGCCCAGCAATACATGCAGTTACTTTCACTTTCATCCTAATGGAATGTATTATTTTCTATCTTCCTCCCGTTCAGACTCATTTATAGTGATTTCGTAGATCAGCAACAATCCCTGCAAACTTTGAGTTACACTGAGCTGATCAGTCCATGGACTTGGAGTGTGCCTTTGAATCAAACGTTAAAGCTGGAATCCACTCTATGCTGGATGTTACATTATACATCGGGAGATTTCTTTTTTCCTAAGGGATGGCTTGCAGCAGAGAATGTACCGAGGAGTGTTGTTCTAGCACAAACACAGCTATTTAAATGAGCCACAGTGAGAACAGAATTTGTGTTAGGTTGGGAGGATAAAATTGGATTGAAATTGGATATACTGACATACATACCATTGGTCTCATCTGTCCTTACTTTACATATGATGGATTTCCTGCTGCCAGTATAGAGGAGCAGCTCTAAAATAAGCCAAAGGTATGTAAATGGAGAGCAATGTGTTCAAGTGGAATTACAATTTCACCTCTAGGTTTGTTTGAGAGGCAGAAATAAGGCCAGAGCTCTGCGCTGTTACACACAGGCTGTGCCTGTTCACATCGTAGTTATGGGAGAGGTGCTCCCCACAATGTTATTTAGATTTATATCGCCTGGGTGAGTAGGAGCACAGGTAGGAACTGCAGATCAGGGCTCCTGCTTTCTCCCAGCAGTGTGGGAGAGTGCCCTCCTGCGTCCAGAGCAGGGAGCCCTCTTAGGGACACGCAGGTCCCCAAGCCAACACTCCTCATCCTACACTTGTGTCACCAGTTTGGCTGGGAGATCCAGTAAATATTTGCCTCAGTTTCCCTCACTGCAAAAAGGGAGAACTAAAACTATTAATCCACAATGATTAATTACTCAGGCTTTGCAAAATGCTTTGTACTTCTCAGAAGGATGGTGATGTTCTCTGGAACTGGAAACCCTCCCTCTCTTCTTTCCCACACTTGCTGCTTGCCATCTGGCTGAGAGGCATGCAGAAAAGACAACACAAATCCTCCATTTAATTATACTGCGCATTTTATTATCTCACCTCAGATTTTGTTGTTAATCTCTTTTACAGATTTCGTTTACATAAGTGGAGTCTTTTAGCTCTAGCAAGCTACGTTGCTTTCTCTTCTGATTCTGCAGATATCAGTCAGCTAAAAAGGAAAGAGGAGAGAACAAGTGTCCTTAAATTTGTCATTCAGTCTTTCCTAGGCTTTATATAT